GCGACGTCCTGAATGTTTCAGGACGGCGTCCTTGGAAATCCCGGCCCTTTCCCCGGGACCAGTTTTTCGTCCTGAGTCGTTTTTTGACGGTTCCGAGGCCCGGCGAGGGCTCCCCGGGGCCGAACAGATTCACAAACCTCCCGTCCTGATTCTTTTCACGGCGCGATCACGTCTGAGCTGGAGGCCTCGCGGATCGTCTGAGACGGCGCCTGCTGGGCCGCCGCAGGACTCCTCGAAGCACCGTCTTAGGGGGGCGAGTCGGGTCCCTCTTGAGCCGCCCTGACGGGGACATGACTGCTCTGTGGGCCGATTCGGATCAGGGGCCCTGTGAGCGATGTAACTTCCCAAACATGGTCGCGACGTAGAATAATCAGGACGGAAGGTTTTTGAAGATGTTCGGCCCGAGGGAGCCCTCGCCGGGCCTCGGGACCGTCAAACAACGACTCAGGACAAAAAACCGGTCCCGGGGAAAGGGTCGGGATTTCCAAGGACGCCGTCCTGAAAAAATCAGGACGTCGCATGTCTGAGTTGGGCTTTCGTGGGAAGCCTCGAGGAAGTCTGCTTCGGGCCTCTTGGGGGTCTCGTGGGGCTTCACGGGGGCCTCCCCGGACCTCTTGGGAACCGCTGCGGGGGCTTCCTGAGGGCTGGAGGGCGGTCTCACGGGGCCGTTTGGAAGCGGAGGGCTCCAGATGTCAGCTGGCATTCCCGGTATTGGGCCCCTGTATGGGGCCCTCTTAGGGGCAGCTGGGGCTGTCTTGGGCCGATCTCGGGGGGCCTCTCGGGCCGTGTTTGACGCTGTCGAGACTCACAAGGCGAATGTGCTGAAAAGTTGCACTTGTCCTACAGAATTGAACAGAATGTTGCGCCCAGGGGCTTCCTGGGTGGGCCACTTGGGGCATTTTTGAAATCTATTTGAAGCTTTTCGGACGGGGCAGGGCCCGAAGGCCTCTTACCAGCAGTTCTGACGTCTTGGATGGCCTGTTGGGAGCCTCGTTGGGGCTTCCAGGTGGCCTTGTGCAGGCTCTTGCGGGCTTCTGGGGGCTTCTGGGATGCCAGTGGGCGTCCCCAGGGGTCATCTTTGGGCGGAGGGCTCGCAATATATATATATATATATATATATATATATATGTATATAAACATAGATTTATTCACACACACATATATATACATACATACATATATAGCACCCCGCAGATGCGGATAAGAGTAACGGGGCGGTGGATACGTCGGCGGTTTGCTTGTGAGACTCTGGAGAAGCCCGCCGCAGGCGCTAAAGTTTCGCAAATTGTGCAACGAGCCCGCCGCAGGCGCCGATTCTTCGTTAAACCAATGTGCGCAGGTCGCGTGTGGGTCGCAAATGGGTCTGTGGTGGGTCGCGGGTGGGTCGGTTTTGGGTCGGGTGTGTAGAGGGCAGAAAATCCAACCATACTACTAACCACCCCGACAAGCGAAGCCGTTTAGTAAACGCACACGAGGAATGAATCGAACAGAGCAGGGCTGTTTAGTAAACGCCCAGGGCCGTTCAGTAAACGTCAATTGTCGGGTCTGGGGGGATTCTCCTCCCTTCAGAGTGGGTCGCGAGGTGGGTCGCGGGGTGGGTCGCGGGTGGGTCGCGGGGTGGGTCGCGGGGTGGGTCGCGGGTGGGACAGCGACAACAAACAACAACAACCACCACCACCACAACAACAATCGTTCTAAGACTGTTCGCTCTTACTTGCCCGCGTGTCATTCAAAACGAGTCCCCCACACCCTCGATACCCGCCTTTTTTGTCTTCGATCACACCCCTTTGGGGGGGGATTCTTTCTTTGGGGGGAGCGGCGTGCTCTGACACGCGGGCAAACCTGAACGGGCGGACAATCCTTCGTGGACGTACATGTGCCCGCCATTGAAATTGGTGTGGGCCCTGCAAAAAGAGGAGGGGGAGAACGAGGGAGAGTGGGACGACGGGAGGGGGAGGGACGAAGGAAGAGGGAAAACGCCAGGAGAGAAGGAGCGACGAGGGGGCGGTTGATTAGAGAGAGAGAGAGGGAGAACAAACGAAAAACAGATAAGAGAGTTAGAGAAAGAGAGAGAGAGAGAGAGGAGAGAGAGAGAGAGAGAGAGAGAAAGAGAGAGAGAGAGAGAAAGAGGGAGGGAGGAGGCAGGGAGAGGAGGAAAAGGGGACAGGGCAGAGAGGCATAAGGATGAGGGAAGAGAGGAGGGAGAGAGAAGGGAGGAGAGGAGGGAGGAAGGAAGAGGGAGGAGGGAGAGGGGGGAGGAGCAGGAAGGTAAGAGCGTGAACGTTCGAAGAAATCCTAGGCGAAAACGCCGGTCCTGAAGGAAGTCTCGGGCGGGAGCCCACGACGGGCGGGCGATCCACTGACGGGCGGGACGGGCGGGTGGGACATTCAAGCGGGAGGCCTGAGTATGGCGAAAGCGCGATTACTAAGTAAAGTGTAACGGCGTCCTTGGCGCAGCGTGTTTCCTAAGCGGCGAAAGCGCGATTCCTGAGTACATTGCATGGAAGTCACAGGCGAGAACGCAATTCCTGAATAAAAAGTGACGGGTTCTCTGGCGGGAGCGGGGGTCTTGATTAAATTGCGAGGAAGTCTTGATTCAATTACGAGGAGGTCTCAAGCGGGAGCGCCGTTCCTGAGTAAATTGTGAGGAAGTCTCAGATGGGTGCGGGGGTCCTGACTAAATTGCGAGGAAATCACAGGCGGGAGCACCGATCCGGAGTAAATTGTGAGGAAGTCTCAGGAGCGGGGGTCCTGAGTAAATTTGGAGGAAGTCTCAAGCGGGAGCCGTTGTTGTTGTAATCTGGGGGATCGGGGGCACAGTTTGAGCACTCAGACTTCCCCTGTCCAAAAACAGGGTGCGAGCGTCGAGGGGCACACTTTGATTGAGAAAAAACTGCATGCACCGGTGAGGGGGGATCAACAATAATTGTTCTTCAGGAATGAGAGTTCAACAAGAACAACACCAACACCAACAACGACAACGACAACAACACCAACACCAACACCAAAAACAACAGCAGCAACAACAACAGCAACAACAACACCAACAACAACACCAACAAAACCAACAGCAACAACAACAGCAACAACAGCACCAACAACACCAACAGCAACAGCAACACCAACAACAACAGCAACAACAACACCAACACCACCAACAGCAACAACAGCAACAGCCAGAACAACACCAACACCAACAACAGCAACAACAACAACAGCAACAGCAACAACAACAACAACGCAACAAACAAAATTCTCACCACGAATTTCCTATTCAGCCACGCACCCAGGGACAGTGAATGACCAGTCGGCCCCCTCACTCGGATCAGCTCGGGTTCCCCCTACTGGGCCCTCTGAGGCCTTCCTCGGGGACTTCTGGAAACGTCTTGGAGCCTTCCTGTGTCGCCTGGGGACTCCATCGGGGGCCTCTCGGGCCGTCCGTGGGCGACTCGAGCCGCTCGCGTCACCTTGAGAGGGGTGGAAGCAAAGACAACGAACATGGTGAACGTGCACGAACTCCGGTGGCAAGGGGGCGACGTCCTGCCCTGGTGGCTCTCGTGGAGGTCCTCCCGGAGAGCTCCTGGGGCGTCCTGGAAGCCTCTCGGGTCGTGGGTGACGCCTCCTGATCTGTGTGGGGGCCGTCCTGGGCCGTCTCCGTGGCGGTCGGACCTCCCTCGGAGGCGATGCTCCCCCCCCCCTCATGGGCGCGGCCCCCCAATATGTAAAGTTATGTCGGGCCTGTCCCCCTACAGGGGGATTTTCGACGAAAAATAAAAAATACCCCAAACATAATCCCAAAATGCTCCAAAAATAGTCAGGGAACGATTTTTGTTAGTATCTTTTGACCTTTTTGTTGTATTTTCTTGTATGTTTTAATGTTTCGTCGAAAATCCCCCTGTATCTGGGGGCCCTGGGACACACAAATAAATACACACAAATAAAAATATTACCCATATGTTCCAATATTTTCTGTCTTCCCCCCCCCACTTCCTATATTTTCCCATATTTTCTGGGGAATCGACGATTCATTGCGTCTGTGTGTGATTTTTTCCCCTCCTGAGATGTGTAGAGGTCCGTGGGCGCTCGCACGTGGCCCCCCCGCTCTGCACGGCCAGCGGCCGAGGCAGCCTCGGACGCTCCGGCGCCCAGAGGCTTTTCCTTCTTCGGCCCGCGCCGCTCTGGCGGGTCGGGTCGGGCGAAGAGGGGGGGATAGCAAATTGGGCGCCCGAGTTATCCGGGGTAACTCGGGCCCGGGGTAACTCGGGCTTGGATTCCCGAAAAGCGAGCCCGAGTTAGCCCTGACCCGAATCATCCCTGAGGAGTTGTGGCTCTGGACGCCCGAGTTATCCGGGGAAACTCGGGCCCGGGGCAACTCGGGTTCGGATTCCCGAACAACGAACCTGAGTGAGCCCTGACCCGAGTTACCCTTGATGATTCGGGTCTCTGAGCAAAGGGGGCCGCGACGCAGATGGCGCGTCGAGCCGAGGCGTGGTGGGCCAGTGCCGGCGGAGCGGCACGCTATACAACAAGCCCGGGCCGCACTCGCTTGCCGTATCTCGGGCCGGGCGGAAGGGGGGGACAGCACAGGGGGGGCTTGAGAATCGGCTCACGTAGCTGATTTTCCCGGCGCCTCCCGGCGCCGGAGGCGGCCATGTATCGAGGAATGGGCCCCTCGGTGAGGCCGAGACCAGCTGCATGCAGCAAATTTCGTACCCCCCCCCTTTCCCAATCCCCCCCTTTCGCCCGGCCCGAGAGGGGGAGCATCAGCGAGCGCAGGGCCAAACTCAGGACGAACTAGTCGTTGTCGTCGTCGTCGTCAGCGAGCTCCTCCTCCTCCACCTCCTCCTCCTGCTCGGCCTTCTCCTGAGCTTAATATTCCAAGCGTCGAGCCTCATCGTCGCGGCTCAAGCTGGGCACCTCCAAGACCAGGCGCCAGCCGCGAATCGCATGAGAGATCGCGCCTTTGATCTCGCTCTTGAAGCTTGCGCGCTCCGCCTTCGTCAGCTCGCTGGTCGGTTTCTCCTCCCCGAGTTTTTGAACTCCCAACTGGTCGCACATGTGGACGAGCATGAATACAGAATGGCGACCAATTCGTGCTGGGCCCCCCGCAATAACCAAACTGGCTCGCGGGACGAATGCAGTGCTGGACATGGGCTCGGGAAGAATAGGAGGAGCACACAGTGGATAACAAGAAGAGCAGCATGGCGATGAGGAGGATGTGGATGAAGAGGAGGGGGGAAAGGGGAAAGGATGGACCGAACAAGGGGGAGGCGGGGAAGAGGGAGAGGAGGAGGAGGAGGAGGAGGAGGAGGAGGAGGAGGAGGAGGAGGAGGAGGAGGAGGGCACGCGGAGGGAAGAGCCGGATGACTACGGAGTCCGTGGGTGAGGGCGGGGGAAGCTGGGCATCGCTCGGACATCCACTCCATTCGGGAGGATGGTCCTCGCCGAAGGAAACGTGCACACGTCCGAGCGATGCCAAGGACGAGAAGGAGTGTGGGAGGGGCGGAGGCGCCGCGCGGCGGCGGAGCGGCCACGCGCACGGCGCCGCTCCTGCCAGGCCCTGCGGCCCGGCGGGCGACGGCTCCGCTCCCGTGTGGCCCGCGAAGCGCGCCGCACCCGGCGACGACTGGAGGAGGACCCCCCCACCCGCGGACCGCGAAAAGTGGGGCATCGCAACGAATCAATACGGATGTTCAAAAAACTCGTCCAAGATTCGCTGCGACGAGGAAGCACAAGAACGACAAAAGTCAGGCAATAGTGAAAACCCGGGCCTGGGCAATTCGCAAGAAACCCGGCCTTCTGCGGCTCGAAACTTCCGGGCGAACGCGGGGAGCCCCGGGCAGCTGTCGCCCTCTGTGCCAGCCTGCTGGCTCTTGCGAGCTGGCGCTAATCGACACCAGTCGACGCGAATCGACGCTGGCTCGACGCTGATCGACGCTGCATCGGCGCTGTCTCGTCGACTAGCAGACGCCACTCGACGCTACGGCACCCTGAAGGCGGAACTGCGAGGGCTTGCCGTCGCTCGGGCGTCCATTTCCCATGTGTTTTTTTGTTCGGTGTCGTGCGCGTTCTGGTGGCTCGAGGATCCAGGATGCTCCTCGATGGTCCTCGCCGAGAAGAGCTGCACACTGCCGAGCGATGCCAAGAGGGCATGCAAGGCCCCCGTGCTGTGCTACCACATGAGCCCCACCTGGCGGCGAGCTCCGAGCTGTTCTCACCTGGCCACGGTCACAGAGAAACCTTGGAGCTCCTGTAGGCTCCCCCGCGGCCGAGGGCGAGCGAGCGAGCGTGCCCTGCACCACACGGTGCGTGAGCAGGGCAGGCCGCCACGGCCAGCTCCAAGTCGCGCACTGCACCGCGCTCCAGGCGGAGCTGGTCAGCCAGGCGGCCGCGTGAGCCGGCAGCTTCCAGACGATTTTGTTGTTGGCCTCAGCGCCATCTCTGCCTAGTGATTCGAGCACTGCGCTGCAGGAAACACAATGCAAGCAACATCCAGACGATTGCTCGTCGGTGGGAAGAAGCGGGTACACACATGAAGTAGGATTGCGTTGAACGTAGGTTGGGCGTCCGCCCGCCCCCTGAACACGAGGGCAGAGGAAATACCACTCGACTCTAGAAGTAGGAAGGCGCCTAGAGTCGACTGGGATTTGTGCATCCAAAAATACCTGCTCTCAACGACCGACGGGTAACCCTTTCTGAGGCCTCCAGAGGTTTCTGGGGACAACCCCTCCGGGGGCCTCCCAGGGCCAGGCTCTGGAGGGGACACGGAACTTACCGGCCGGACAGCCCCCTGCTCATGCTCCTTTTCCTCCATCCCTTCTCCTTGTCCTCCTCCACCTCCTCCTCTTGTCTTCCCCCTCGAAAAAATCGGGGGCGACGATGGGGGCGAATAGCCCAGGCGAGAGCAACACGTGTATCCAAGAGCGCCGATGGTCCGTGCCTTCGGCGCGGCTCCTGGAGGCAAACGTGCAGTGCCCGCCACTGGGATATCTGGGGGAATCAACAGGTACCGATACCGCCACTCCCCGGACCTCTCCCGGGGTGCGTTCTGACCAGAAGTTCGAAGCGAATCCAGTGGTGGCGACGGGGGCCTTCCAGGACTCCCAAAAAGGGGAAACTGGGCGAAGTGTAGAGGTATGGATATATTTTCCTCCTCTGACGATTCGCCCCCATCGTCGCCTCCGAAAAATCCTTCGAACCTGTCGGCGTGTGGAAGAGGCTGTTCGTCGTCGTCGTCGTCGCTTTCGCCACTCTCCCCCCCTCTCCCTAAGCCCGTCGCCGCCCTCTCCCGATTTCACCGGGCCCTCCTCCTCGAGCGCGCCAGCCACAGCGAAATTGAGCAACGTTGTCAAAAGGAAACCCCTTCCTTTTGATCCCTTCCCCGCCGGGCGGGGGGGGGCTCCTGGGGGTGGGGTCCCGGGGGGGGTCGCGGGGCAGATGCGACTCCCCCCCGGGCGGCTCGAGGGCCGAGAAAACCCGCAGGGCGCGGCAAAAGTGCCCCAAGATATCCCCAAGACGGTCTTCGAGCGTTTCATATCGCTGAAGTCTCGGGTATAAGTCGCCAAAGTAACCTCCAGACGGCACAAGAGTTTTCCAACACGCCCCAAGAGGCCCCCAAGTGGACTTCCAAGAGGGCCCAGCGGGGCAAATATCAGTGATTTCCCAATGTTTTTGAAAGATTTCAGCGTTCTCGCCTTGTCAGCTTCCCGACGCTCCAAGACAGGCCAAGAAGAGCCCAAGACCGCCCCAAGATGGCCCAAGAGGCCTCCAAGAGAGTTCCAAAACGACCCAAGAGGGCCCCAAGACCGACCAATAGGCCCCCAAGACGGCTCCAAGGAGGAGCCCAGACGGGGGACCCGAACGAACATTTTGAGCCCTCGGCCTGAGATGCTCTCAGGAAACCCCCAGAGGCCCCTAAGAAGCCTCTCAAGAAAGCCCAAGAAGCCCCCAAGAGACCCCCAGGAAGCCTCAAGAGGCCCCCTCAGCCTCTTGCTCCTCGATGTTTTCCTCCTGCTCGTCGTCGCCGTCTTCAGGGTCGGCGGCACCAGCCGTAAGGCCTTCGTAATACATATTTTCAACGACCGGCGTGCACGTAAGACAAGATGCCCCCTGGCGCTTCGGGGGAAGCGGCGAGGCGCCCGCATCCCGAGGGTGCCCTCGCGGGGGGCCCATGGCCGTGCGGCATCCCATGCCTCCCAATTTTCCCTTGGCGCTGCGCCGCGGGTCAAGTCGGACTTCGTTGGACAGAACACCCGAGAGGACACAAGACTCTTCCAAGGGCAACGTGGCAGCCAGAACACCAAAGGACATGCGGGTTGCACAGGTCGGAATGGACAAGACACAAGGATACCCTCGATGTGGTACGATCGACTCACCAATCATTGGTCATTGCACCGACCGTGCAGACGTGCTACCGCGGATTTGTTTGTGGATTCCTGTCAACGCAAAATCCCGAAACGGCGAGCGAATAACAAAGTGAATTTCGCTTGGATTGCTTGTAGATTTCATTCCTGACCCCAAAATCCGCACGAAATCCACTTCGAAATCGGGAACGAAACTCTCCAGGACACTCCGGGCCCATTCCGTTGTTTTCCGATCGAAACCCGCTCTGCGATGTTGGCGCCATGACAATCAGGGTTAGGTCGGGCATGTCCTCCTACAGGCGGACTTTCAAGGAACAATGAAACATACCACAATCGTTTACAACAAATACTCAGAAATAATCAAAATTCGTCCCCCGACTACTTGTTGCACTATCTTTGAATATCCCTCCTGTAGAGGCACAGGCCCGACTTACGATCAGGGCCGGCTGCATCGTGATCAGGCAAGAGGCTGGGCGGGGGAGGAAAGCAGGGGGGGGCATGGCGACCCCCATCCCCAGCCCTCTGGCGACCTCGCCCTGGCAGAAGCTCGGTGCCATGCTCAAGGATGCATGGTGGGCTTGTTTTCCACATCCACCACCAGAAGCAGGAGGGGGATGAGGTCCTCCTCCTCCTCCTCCTCCTCCTCCTCCTCCACCTCCACCTCCTTTCCCTTTCAAATGTATGGTGGTGGAGGTGGAAAGCAGGCCCATCAATGTACGACGGGGGGGTGGGGGCCATCCTCGACGCGGCGTGCGTCCGAGTGGCCCCCACCACGGGGGCGCATCCCCGAGTTCCCCTCCCTGTCGGAGGGTTTTCTCTTTTCTGTGGAGGGGAAACTCGGGAGTTGGGGGAGAGGGTGGGGGCCAGGCCGGGCGTCATATCTGACGTCCTACACAGGCCCAGCTGAATTTTACTCCTCCCTCCAATCCCTTACCATGGCGTAGGTCTCATCTCTATTCGCACAGTCGGATGTCGAGCAGGGCACTGATCACGGGCGGGTGCGCGATGCATCGCAGAGCGCGGTATGGCATGGCGTAGAAGGGCACGGCACAGCGTAGAACGTAGTAGCATGGCGTGGCATGGCGTATCGAAGGGTGGGGGAGAGCAGTCGCCTGCGACGAAAGGCAGAGGAGGCGAGGACGAGGCGCAGGTGGTCGCAGCAGAGCGGCAACTCACAAAGTCGGCCCCTGGGCCACTCCCGAGGGGCCCCCGAGACGCACAAACGTGTGCTCCCCGAGCTCCGCAGAGCGTGGCGACGAGGGGGGCGCCCCCCCCCGACGGCCAAATGCCGCTGTCCCAACTCGCTTCTTCTTCTTCTCCTCCGTCGGCTGCACGCTTGAGTGACCCTAGGCAGGAGTGACCTTCCCAGACACGATCGCATCGCACAGAAATCAGGACGGGAGGCTTCTGGCCATTTTCGACCTCGGGGGGGGCCCTCGCTGGGCCTCGGGGCCGTCAAACAACAACAACTCCGGACAAAACAAAACGGTCTTGGGGAAAGAAAGGGTCGGGACTTCCAGGACTTCCAGGTACGCCTCTCTGAAACGAATCAAGACGTCGAACGTCTGGGTTGCGTGCGCGGCCACGGGGGGGCCTTTGGGGGACACCGCTAGGCGCGGAAGCCGCTGCCGCCGCCTCGTACTCGGCGATCGGGGGGCCCCCATGGGGCCCGCACCAGAAGTCACTCCGGCGAAGGTTCACTCTGACGTGTTCGACTCTGAGATGGGGACGACAAGGGATCGTTTTCTTATTCGGCGTGTCGACGTTGCACAAAAGGAGAGAAGGAGGAGGGGGAGGAGGAGGGGGGGGAGGAGGTGAGGAGGAGAGGAGGAGGAGGAGGAGGAGGAGGAGGAGGAGGAGGAGGAGGAGGAGGAGGGGAGGAGGCCCTGGCTGGCCAGACCTCTGCTTGATGCGCCTGCTCGCAACAGTGCGTCCTCTGGAGGGGCCCCACCAGCGCGAGGCGGGCGCCCCAAACAGCCAAGATCTAGCCCATGGGGGGGGAACGAGTAAGAAAACAATCACCAAGGGCTGGCGTTAGGTCGGGCCTGTCCCCCTGCAGGCCGATTTTGGACGAAAAACAAAACATAGTCCAAACATACCCCCCAAATGCTCAAACATAGTCAAAACAAACGTCCCCATACGATTTGTGTGTTGACTATGTTTGAATATTCCTCCTGTAGAGGGACAGGCCCGACTTAAGGCTGGCGGCAGCGCTGCTTCGGCCCGCTGGTCCTCCCCCGGCCAGCGGTCGGCCTTCTCCGGCGCGTGGCCGTAGTGGCGCGCCAACCACCGCCGCAGCGCGCTCAGCAGCTGCTGCCGCTCGTCTCCGCGCGCGGTGTGCTCGGTGATCTCCTGGACGCACCTGGGCCGCTCCCCGGCGCCGCTCGCCCCCCCTCTGCCTCGCTCCGCCCCTCCTCTCCCTCCCTCCCTCGAGGCCTCCCTCCTCCTTCCTCCTCCTCGCTCCCTCCCTCCTTCCTCCTCCCTCCCTCCCTCCCTCCCTCCTCCTCGCTCCGCTCCGCTCCTCCTCTCTCCTCTCTCCCTCCCTCCTCTCCCTCTGGGGTCCGGATAGAGGGGGGGCCGGGGGACTGCACTGCATCGCGGACGCATCGCCGATGCCTCGGCGATGCCTCGGCGATGCGTCGGCGACGTCGGCGACGCGTCGGCGACGTCGGCGTGGGGGGCTCCACACCGAGCCGCTTCGCGGATGCATCGGCGATGAGGAGCGACCCTCCAACCCCATCTACTCTGACTACCTACCAGACCACCCCAACCCAACCCGAAGACCCGAATTTCGGGTTGGGGGGGGTACGGGTTCCATATGTGTTTTCTCGACGTTCCCCGACCACCCCCCACTGGAAATGGAGGTAGATTTGAGGCCTTCGGGTTGGGTTGGGGTGGTTTGGTAGGTGGTGATACTCGGACCCCATCTAGGAGGCCTGCCCAGACTCTTGTGCCATCTCCTCCCAAGACGAGGCCAGCGCCCTGCGAGGACCCTCACCTCGTCGGCCCCACGCGACGGCCGCCAGCGCGGCTGTCCGCCTCCCCACGCGGCCGCGCCGCGATCAGGCGATCAGGAACCTGCGTGGCACCCGTCGTGCCCGCGCGACGCGCTCACTTGCGAGAGCGCTCGTACTCCTCGCAGGAGAACGGCGACTTCTCGACGAGCACCACAGTCGCCAAGAAGGGATGGTGCAGCGCTCATCGTGGCGGGCATCTGGCTCGGGCTGGCAACACAGATCCAAGCGTCGAGTGTGCTCCTGCCTGGGGAGAGTACGACACCAGAAAACTCCAAGGGCCAAGTTCAGAGGCAAGACCCCCACGCCCAAGGAGCGGCAAGAGCAAAAATGCCAAGGGGGTCACGTTCAAAAAGGACGTGTGTGGCAAAGCAGCTCCGTCAAGTTTACCCCCAACTCCAGCTTCGCCTCAGGACGAGCTCGAGGAGGACGACGAGGAAGAATTGGAGGAGGACCAGCTTTCCGCCAATGACCTCCTCCACATCCGCCCTGCATTACCACCGGAGGCTGCCACTCATCCGTTGTGGCGCACCTGCAGAAGGCAGCGAAACGGCTCGAGGCGCTGGACACGCTGATCCACGGCCGCTACCAGGCCAAGCGGCCCAGGGAGGATGCGGCTCGAGAGTGCGAAGTGACTCTCACCATGAAAGACTAGGCTCGCGGGCTCGACGAGCAGATTGCCAAGCAGGACGAGGCGATCCAGATGTCCATGAAAATGTACGTCAAAGCCAACGACGCCCTCGACAAGACGGCCATCCTGCTCGGCACGTTGACAGCACATGTTGGACGGTACCAACAAGGTTGGCGCACATGAGAAAGGCTCGTGCCGAGCTCCAGGTTCTAAAAGAAGAAGAAGAAGAGACCCGTCAAACAGCTACTCAAGCTGGTCAGAATACCGAGACCAAGATGCAAGCAGGTCAAGCAAACACACACACACACACACACACATGTCTGCCCTCACCCTCATGTTGAGCAGGGACCGACCGTCCCGGCATTCCTATAATCATACCACGAAGTGCTCTTAGAACCCATACATGTTCCCAGAACAAAAAAAGTTCTTCGACCATAGACCCGATGTGTTGAAACAAGACAGTCCCAGCCAGAAATGTTCTAGGACAAATTCGTGGAAGCCACAACAAATCTTAGAACATTGTTTGGTAGGGCCATAGGCGAGCCGGGACGCTTCGCCACTGCTTGAAGCAGGTCAAGCAGTCACACACACGTCTTGCCTCACCCTCATGGCCGGCCCAGCAGACGCAGCTCGCGGAGGTCTCGGCGCGGGTCAGCAGCATGGCCACGACCGCCCCAGGTCTACAGCGCGGGCGCGCCGAGGAAGCAAGGCACGGAGAACCCAGCATCAAATCGATACTCCGGATCTCATAACAAAGGGGGGGGGGTCTGCTTTTTGGGGGGGTCTAACGGGCTTCGTCAAACACAATTGTGGGGGGGTCTCGATGTTGGACCCTTTGTTGCCTGTCTGGGGGGGTCTACTTCGGGCTGTCATGCAAAACGTTTGGGGGGGGGTCTCAACTTTCTCGACATCTGGGGATCGGCAGAAACCAGCAGCCGAGTCGAGAAGTCGCATCGGCGGAAATCGGCAGGCTGGTATGCCTCCAGCAAGAACGCTGGCTCCAAATCGGAATCCGAAATCGAATCGACTCGGAATCGGAAGCCAGCGAAATCGAATCGAATCGAATCGGAGGAATCGAAACGCGCCCCGAAGGGCGGCAAGCCCACCTGCAGGCCCCCCGGGGGCGGCGGCAGGCAGGCCGGGGCCCTGGGCCGCGGTCGCAGGCCGAAGCTGGGGCCCGCGCGCCGGAATCGCCATCTCCACTCCCGCGCAACCCGAAGGGGGGCCCCAGCAGCAGGTGCGCCACGAGCTCCTCCTCTTTCCTCCTCCTCCTCCTCCTCCTCCTCCTCCTCCTCCTTTTCTTCCTCCTCCTCCTCCTCTTTTTCTTCCTCATCCTCCTCCTCCTCCTCCTCCTCCTCTTCCTCCTCCTCCTCCTCTCTCCTCCTCTCTCATCCTCT